ATCTTTACTATAGCCTATATGACGGTCAAGAGAAATAGATGTCCTATATACCTACGCAGAGACTAACTACTATGAAAAATATTCGATAAGTGTTTATTTATTAAATCTTTATCAATCAACTGTCCTTTATAAACGTAAGTAGTAACGTGTGAACTCCTCAACAACATTTTGATATAAAATGTTGCCAAGATGAGATCGTATAGAAATGAGACCTAAGTCCTATAATTCTTAATTTTATACATAAGTTGCGGCGAAATACTACACCCGTAGCTCGTAGCGCGTAGTTCACAGATTGTAGCTCGTAGTTCGTAGCGCGTAGTTTGTAACGCGTAGCTCGTAGTGCATACTGCGTAGAACGTAGCTCGTAGTACATTGTAGCGTGTGGTTTGTAACGCGTAACTCGGAAGGGCGTACGTCGTAGCGCATACATCGTAGCGCGTAGCTCATGCGTGAGCGTAGGTTCTAACGTGTTGTTCGTAGCGCGTAGTACGTAGCTCGTAGCATATACTTTTGTAGCGATTAGTTCGTAGTAGAGTTCGTAACGCGTATATTGTAGCGCGCAGTTCGTAACACGGAGTAACGGTTTCCCGCTAATAATCTCCCAGGCGTGCAAACCATGATATGAACTCAACCTGTGAGTGACTTGGACGTCTTGCTATTCGTCATATTAGATATTGACTTGAACGAGTTGTACTTATCCATTCAATGTTTATTTTTTTATACACCAGTTTTTGCAATATCAACCAGTAGTAACAAACATCATTTTGGCTAGGCTACGCAATTTTTACTGAGGTGTAGAGTTATCTTTCTACGCGCTACGAACTACATGCTACGAGCTACGCTGTAGTATGTCACCGCAATTTTAGTTTAAATGAGGGTTTACGAATTTTGAGTTGGGCGAAAATTGATTAGGTACTTTTTGACGGGGTCAATATGATCTCGTCCTATCAACGTGAAAATATATTTTGTAAGATTACCTATAGTAAAATATAATTGAGGTATTTATTACGCTCCTTAGATTGCGTATTTAATAGTGTACCCATTTTCATTTTTTAATGTAATAACGTTCAATAGGATGAACCGAGGTAAAAGATTATACAGTAATTCATACATAGTACAGGTAGGGCCCAAGTGCCATAAGAAACTTGCATTGAAGGGCCTCTAAATAATATGGACAGGTAGGTGCGAACATTGATCGTCACTCTTATCCTATTTATGTCACATGAATTTAAATTTAATTTAATTACTAACTGTTATTTGATATCTTTTCAACCGTACCTACTTCTTATAGGAGTAGAGTATATGTAGAGAGCGAGTGCAGTCGTGCAGAGATTGACAAAAATATTGAACAACATGAAAAACAAAACATTACTATTTATCCTCAAATGGTTATCCACAGATTATGTCATACATATCTACTTATATGAATAGCCGCTAAAGTACTTACAGCAAAGTAAGTAGGTATAGGTAGGCACTTACTCAGATACTGGTATTACGGTTATAGTATAAATTTAATCAATTCTATAGCCGTAAATTACATTTTACAAACCACTGAACACAAATCCATAAATTTCATAATACCTACTGCGAATTTCTGTATCGAAGAACTCAACAAAACATTTGCCTGACCGGGGAAAACCTATTGAAGCGGTCGAAGTTATTGTTAACCACACTATTCGAATATGTATTAATGAAAATGCAATTAATTCGTACTTTTGGTGTTGTTAAAACATTATAATTATAAACCTAAGTTGTCCTTATGATTAAGGGCAAATAACCATTATGGGCATTCTTGAGTTATTAAGTTCAGAGACACGAAGCCAGCGAACCGTTGAAGGTCAAATGCTCAAGTTACATTGCCATGCATAATAATTATAGGTATCTATCTGGTCTGAACAAAGATTTGTATTGATATTGATATTTTATGCTACACATAATGCACGTAGATTTTTCTTTTTTTTATTATTGTCCTAGGTAATAAATTCATGTAGTGTTCGGAAACGCCCGGAATACGTATTTACGTCAACGATTTCTGGGATTAGTTTGTCAGCTTTTTATGACTCTATTGTTAGACTGAAAATTAATAATAACTTAGGTACCTATAGTCAAGGTATAACCAGGTTGTTATTAATTCCCACCAGGTAATTTGTAACTAAGTTGTCTGTATAGGTATAGGTTTATTATGCCGCAGAGGACTCAACACCTAACGGGGCTCCAGCTCGAAGAGCTGAAGTAAGAACGAAGTGGTTTTTGGTCAGTTTTGACACTCCCGGTCGCCTCACCCAAGGCGGAGCTGACATAGGATGATTTTTCCTCCTCAAAAAAAAATTGTTTATTATGCCAGATGTCCATAAAATTCTTGTTTAATTTATTGCATTAATTAACTTTCGGCTTCTGTCCATATATTAGGTATTGACTGTAACCCGTGCCCTAATAAATCCAGTTTATTATTTAGGCCGTTTAATTTACTATTGCTATTACACTAGTCACTGCAATAATCTGCAAATGTATAATGTTTATACACAAAACCTACAAAATTATGTAAAGGCTACGGTGGTCGGTGACTCTAATCTAAGTATTTACAATCTAAGTAGAAATGGAGCCGGAGAGACTGTGGGATCCTTCACCAAGGTATTTGTGTTAACAGTAAATAAATAAATAGTCAACAAGCAAAACAACAACCATTAACATGTTAATTTTAATCAGGTGCTTCTAATGACTACTTAATTACAATTTCTAATGTGATTAAATGTAGGTAGGTAGATATCACATCAAGTAGGTACATCTACTTAGTAGAATTACTGGGTACATCGTGTGGAGCGCCATGTTCCATTACTAACTTAGTTACAAACAGAAAACTATTGAGTTGATCAAAATCTTATAAGTATGTACCTAACTATTAATTGTATCTATGATAACCAGATAAAGATAAGAAGTATGAAGACCTACGAAATTAACAAATGAGGATGATTTTACGATACAGGTTGTTGTAAAACGCTTCCTTTTCAAGTGGTTTTAATGGAGATTTTTTTGAGTAAGTACATGCGTAGGTATCTATACCTACTGACACCTAGACAGCTTTATTAAAATTAGAATATTATTACACAATAGTATCTGTAATAATAAGTAGCGGCAAGTTGCCAAGCTAGCACACCCACTCTGTATCTATCTGTCTGTACCCTACCATAGAAACAGCCACCCATTTTCTTGAATCGCCATTGAAATGACGCGTTCACCACGTGACGTCTTACGCCATACTTTGTTTTTGTTCATTCACCATGGTTAATTATTTATTATTATTATTAATGCTGCTAACAACTAGTCCTTTACAATGACTAATCATTGCGTTATATAATATCCATTTCCATTCATTAATTCGTTTTTATCTTTGACGTTATTTAGAGCTTTAGTCGAAAAAAGCCCGTATTTTATGTATTAGGTACCTAAATGAGTATTTTTAATTAGGTATCTTGGTTGTATGAGCACCCTTTGTAAAATAAAGATGTTATTATTTGTTTAGGAATGTGGTTACCTAACGATTGGTTGGTAGGTAGGTCCAGATATCTACTCATAGACACACAAAAGTAATCTACGTTGTGTAATAATTGATTTACTACTTCTGTGGGTAATTAGGTAGTTTAATATCAAAATATCCATCTCTCTACTATGAGTAGATACCTCCCTATTACTTGAAATAAAGTGTTGAATTTGATATATGCATTCACGTAATCCCATAAAAAAAACGTATCGATATTATTTTTTATGCATAAACTTGTTACCGTTGCCTACCTACACTTACCTCTTATCATGACGACTACTTATCAATTTCAGTTAGCTAATCGCATATCTATCTATTGTTTTGTCTTCAACATGCACACCGGCACATAGGCACCTACATAATCACAATCGGTTTCACAACTGAACAGTAGGTAGGCATTTACCTATCTAGTCGTAAATCAGGCACGTCAACAATTAGAATGCAGTGATCTGAAATACCTACTACCTATGTGTTTAAGGGCTCTACAGCTTGGGTGAGCGTCAAGGTAAACCGGCACGGCTGCGCAGCGCCAGTGAGTCTGGTGTGGACAGCACCTACTCCCCCCCCCCCTCCGACCTCCTCGCCCGCACCCCGCAGCACCTACCTGTCATGCTGCCCACGCAACCGATCGGCCTACGCGCCTTTGCTATGTTCATAAGTGTCTACGCATGATGCATAATAATGAGTAATCGTGATTCGTGCGTAAAGGATGGTCTAATCAATGTTGACGGCGGTCGTTAGGTTCACTTTAATTTCAAAGCCCAACGTGGAGTGGTTTTAGAGAGAAAACGCAACTCTTTCCTAGATAGTCTAGAATTCTAGATACTTACGTAGTGAAAACAAGTTTATTAAACGTATTTTCCGAACAACAAAGTCAAGCCACATTATGTTTGTGCCACTGTTTACCTGACATGAAGTAATCACGTTGTAAATTGGCCTTTCCCGCTATCTTACCAATACAAAAACAGCAGTCAGTAACTGAAATAGCAATTAAAGGACACAGCAAGTTGGCACGTCTTATCTGCGCCTTGAGGTCAGGGGGTGGGCATCTCATTATAATAATTATCGTGTGGATAGCGGACCCGCGATGAAGCAGGCTGCCGGCGAGCGAGTGACTCATCCCCGTGATCGTGATACCGCTCACGTTCGTCGCCACTCGCCACATCACTACCTACCTTACTGCTTCTCGCACAGACATGTTACATGCATAAAATAGACTCTTCGGTGGACCTGTTTTCCGTGTTATATAACTAACAGATTCTACGTGAGGTTTAAGATTCTACCCGTTAACTTCCAACAAAGCAAACCAGCAATCATTGCAGATTACAAAAAATCCTAAGCCCACCTTACCATTTGTTGAAAACTTAATTAATTTAATGTCATGATTTTCATATAAGCATTTAATTAAAAGATAAGAAAATCAACGAAAGGTATACATTGAACAACTTCTTTTATAAGAAATATGTATGTAAGATTGACTTTGTGGTTATTTTTCTTTGTTTTTAGTAAGTGGCATACCTACCTAATACTTATAGTACCGTTTCTTAACATTCAGCGAACAATAAGATTTATAGTGCATGTACCTAATATTATTTTCATGTCATGCTACAGGTGCTGATGCACAGGACTATGGACATATTCCGCCGTTAAGTTATCGCCTCAACCCCGCACCAGATGGCCACAGGTTGTATAATTAAATCTACACAAAAATCCGGAAATGCTCAATATTTGATGTCATCGTTCTGAGAATACTTTCTGTCTTAATTCAAATAGTTGCTGCTTAGTTGAAACTGTGAATTTACATTTATATTTACATTAATATTCGAGTCAAATGATTGATTTATTTGTATAAATAAACAAGAATTACGTCCTACAGGTGCGGTGTATGTCCCACGTATTTCCAAAAGATCTGCGCGTTCGACCCCAAATCCAACTCGACGTATATATTCGACAATCACTGCATAATGGACTTGTACAACTGCATGGAATCCAGTGGTTTGTTACTCAACCATATTATTAGCTATTCCATAATTTACTGCTTCTTACTGTTGCATTATCTAGGTACCTATTCATTACGCTGAATTATGACTAAACTTCCCAATCAAAACAATTATTATAATGACATATTTTGGTTTATTCTGTAATAATGTAGGTGTTATCAAAAAATCCTTTCTTATGATTAGTGATGTAAAAATATGTTTACAGCATTTTTCCCAATGAAATACGAAAAATGTTTGTATTTCGGTAACTTCGCTTACGTCCACGGATACAAACACGAAGATATGGACTACGGCGAGGATCATCTTACAGTGTTACACTCAAAAAAGAACCCAGATTTTATATGATAATTATAATTTTATTTCAATGTTTTATGTATTAAAGAATTATAGAGAATTAAACCTAGTACTAAAGTACAGATGAAACTGAACCCGTTATTATACTTATCATTATTTTGTGTGGAACATATGCACAAGTACGTCTATTTAAATACATTTTAACTATTGTATTTAATATCCATGTTAGTAAGTCGCTATGATTATTTCATATTACTATTGTTTAGGAAACAGATAAAACATGTAAATATAATTATCGGTCGGAATATAAGTGGTACAATTAGTAGTCGATGCAAACCACCAGCTACTCATTGTTATTAAATATTTAAATAAGTACCTAATTGCATAGATTGTTTGAAGTGAAGACATTTACATGCAGTTAACTCATAAAGAGAATGAAACAATAGTTCCTAGTGAAAATAGTTAAAAATTAATGTATTTAATCAACAGAACTGGGTACAGTTTTAAAGGACTTTAAACTAATGTAAATCACCTTGATGAATTTTAACACAGAACTTAAAAATACAAATTTTATTTGATTTAGTAAGTTTCGAAATTAAATTCCCTAATTAAAACATTAAGTTTAAGCTACTAGTTAACTATTCACTTCTGTGATACTACTATAAAAAATGATCAAATATCGAAGTTTACCTACACACCAAGTCATGTTAGCCCAACTATGCATCACTTAACTGTAACTGTTCACGGTATTGTTATAACAATGCTTAATAAATTAAAGTCCAGTTCATCCAGTATTTAAATGTGCTATTGCACTACAAAGGCTGTCTTCACACCAACCTATTGGGTCCACGATGAGGTAGCGTAGACCGCGTCGGTCGGTGTGAGGCCAGTCTATGTGAGGAACATGGGCTATGTGACGCCCATGTGGCCGAGCCTCTTGTAGTCGATCTTGTCAAGTTGGACGAGGGGTCGCAGTTGGTCTGCGAATGCGCGCATGTCCTCTGCTATCGCGTCTTGCCCTTGTGGCGCAAGCACCTGAATAAAAATAAACATTAGTCATTAGTATGTTGTTGAAAATAAACAAAATATTTAGAAAACTTGGTATTGACATTGAATGTCATTCATCAGTTTACTATTTTTTTTTTGATGTAATAAGCCGTTAAACGACTGGACGCATCACCTGATGGTAATTACGATTGCTTGCCCCGCCCATGGACACCCAAACATCAAAACCTTTTTGGATGATTTTTAGGAGGGAATTTGGGGATTGTTGGGGATTCGGGGATTCGGGGATTGGGGTGATTGGGGAGAGGGATAATTATGCCTCCCGTAACCTCACTCACACGACAAAACACAACGCAAGTTTTGATCACGTCGGTTTTCTGTGAGGCAGTGGTTTCACTCCCGTTGAACCTCGAATTCTATTATATTCAAACTATCTCAACAATGTTATGCCATCACACTTATTCTACTATTAGTTATCTGGGAATGAAAAGATCAGTTTATAGTATATTGGACTGACAGAATTTTATGACAGTTACATGCAAATAGTGCCACCAAGTGAGTGTCGAAACGATTGGCCTCAGTGATAATAACTATAGTATTATATAAAACAGTAGAAAAAATGATGGATTTATCTAAACTATTATAGTAAAATAAATATATGAAATCTAAACTCACCGATAATTCAACCAGATAACTTTGAGATATAGGCTCCGGGGGCATTGACCCTTGGGATATCTTGAAAACCTTCGCAACTGTTATCTTCATGCGACCTTTCCTGAACATGTAACCTGTAAAATATAGATTAAAGCAATAAGATTTTATTTCATACAAAGATAGTGATGACACCTGATTATTCTGTGGTGGTGGGTCCATAAGCATTTTTTGTGAGAAACTAAGTGAAACATATAAGATTAAGAATTCAAACTTTATTTGTGTACAAACAAAACAATTTCCACCACAGATTTATACTTTCTCATAATAATATCCAATTATAGTAGAGTACAAAAGGTACAGTGCACAAAATTTCGAGGACTGCATATAGAGAGCAACTTAAAGTGGCGATGTCATAGTGAATATATAAGCTCCAAAATTAATCAGTTCTCGTATGCACTATTCAAGCTATCTAAGGTTGCTAATGCCGGAACACTTATAACTGCATACCAAGGACACGTTGTTTCTCTTCTTCGGTATGGGATAGTCTTCTGGGGCAACTCAACTTACAAAGAAATGATTATTCATATCTCAAAAGAGGTGTGTCAGGGCTATTTGCAAACTAAGCCAGACCGACAGCTGTAGACCGTACTTTATTAATTTAAATATTTTGACGGTACCATGTATCTACATGTACGAAGTGTTAGTATTTGTAAAGAATAATATTATGTTTTTTGTATGGCCCCAAGATTATACAACCATTTGCCAAACGAATTGCTACATTATACAATCTTTGAAGGTTTTTAAAAATAGAATAAAAGGTTTTTAATCTCTAAGGCATATTATAGTGTTACTGAGTACTTAGACGACAAAATATGATGTATTTTTATTTTATTTTGTTTAATAATTTTTATCTTGTTTTTATTTAACTATTGACATTCTGATTGTTTAATATTGTAACATTTAAATTTTTAATCCTATGTGACCTAATAATTAATAATTCTAATGACATTAAGTAATAATAATCAATCCAAATCTTTGTTTCCAACTATTTTCTAATTTTGTATGCTGAAAAAGCCAACATAGCGTTTAAAATTGTTATTTAAGACCCTAATGTTACCTATGTTCACAATTGAATAAATGAATGAAATGAAATGAATGCATAATAATACATAAATGACTTTTACCTTTAACACTATATTCAAATTCAATTCTGCATCCTAGTTCATTGAGGAAATCTATTAGCATCCCGCTGCAAGCTATATCCAGGCTTGATCGGACCACTGTCGGCCTGTTTTTGTCTCCCAGATCCGGTTGTCCAATGTAGCGGAGTTGAAATGGCATGTCTCTGTAATCCAGAGCCTTTCTTACTCGCAACATTAATGGTGCAGCCTGAAAATATAAGCAAGCATGAAATTATTCAAAGAATCGAGACTTTATCATCATTATCAGGTTTTTAGACAACTGATTTCATAAATATTGCTTGTCCTAGGCTAATATAAAGTACTTTACATTCTTAGTTAGGTACCTATGTTTCATATATAATGTGTACGAGAGGCAGAGGCATAAAGACGATACACGTAGATACTCAGTCAGTGTGTTACTCTTGCCATAATTTTGGCACCATTCCAGACTCAATGCTACTACAAAATATCATTGTAAGAGTTGCCGTTCAAAACTTTTAGTAATATGTAAATGAATGTACCTGTTGGTTAGGGTCGCGCAAGCTAAAACAGACTTCCTGATCATCAAATGTTTCCGGACCAGCGTCAACATTATCACACAATCCTCGAAGACGATGAAGTAATACTTCTACAGCCGAATCCAGAACTGAGCCCTGCAAGCACAGTTAAAGCAGGATTAAGTAGAGCCTCAGGTTTCCAAAACACATCAAATATTAAAAGTAACCTACCTGTAGTAAATATTCTTGATTGGGAATTATATTAGCCTTCAGCGCCTGTGACAAGCTGTCGGTAGCTGTAATGGGAGCTGCATTAGCAGCTGACATTCCAGCCATTTCTTAATTTTTGTTCAATACAGTCTTGAAATTAATAAATTGCAATAACCACAACAAAATACGAACAAATCAAACATCAATTTTTTTGACAGATGACATTGACAGTACAGTATTGATTTACGCTGGACATAAAAGTATTGCCAGATTGAAAAGATAATACAGTGTATCAGGCATTTTATATAAGTGTGCAACAGTAACTGAAGAGAATTCAGTAGATTCCTGGATTTCATTTCATTTTAAGTTTGCTTAGTAAGCTTTAGTTTATTTATTCATTATTACTCATTTATTTACCTGTTTATTTGTCGATGGCTTAACTTTTTTTTAACTATCAGTCAGTATTAATTCTGTCAAGTGTCAATATCAGTCAAATAATAAGTGAGGTTAGAATCAGCTTACTTGTTGTTTATTTGAAAATTGTTTATAATTCTGTTTCAAAATGACGAGCCACGTTAAAATACGTTTAGCTTCAGAAAGAGTTAATCATTCTGTACCAACTAATAGGGAATTACCTCGATTCTATACTCCTGGTGAAGTTGTAACAGGCATGGAGGATTTTATGCGGTAAGATGAGGCAGTGATGTTCTTTAAAGTTTTATATATCTTCTGTACTCTTATTAACTAATTAACATGTATACAGGGGTCATGGTACTTACGCGTCAGACGACTGTTTAAAAGCTTCCGTAGCTGGAGTAATGCAAAAAGTAAACAAGTTGATATGTGTCCGACCGTTGAAGAATCGGTACGTCGGTGAAATAGGAGACGTAGTAGTGGGGCGAGTTCTTGAAGTCCAGCAGAGGAGATGGAAAGTTGAAACTAATTCTCGTTTGGATTCTGTGCTACAGTTATCATCGGTGAATCTGCCTGGAGGAGAGCTGGTATGTTTTATATACTACTTGCTTCAAATCACAGCTGCTGTGCTCAAGTGAATTAGCCTGTGTCCTTCTTCGGACATCTAACTATATGCATGCAAAATTTCATGAAAATCGGTTCTGTAGATAGGAAGTAAAGAGGTATCAAATATACTATTTTGATAAGATTTTTTTTAAGAAAGTGCAAGTAGGTACAAGCAATCAAAACTTTTGTGCCTATAATATACATTAAAGTTAGCTAGCTCACAGCAAGTATTACAGTACTTACTTTTTAATTTTCTTACACTTTATTACACCATTTATCCACAATTAATAAAAAAATAAAAAGAAATGATTTGATCATTTTATTTCATTACCTACCTAATGCACCATTATTTCAAATTACAGAGGCGTAGATCAGCTGAAGATGAGCAGATGATGAGGAAACATCTGCAGGAAGGTGACCTGATCAGTGCAGAGGTACAGAGTGTGTTCTCAGATGGTTCACTGTCACTGCACACCAGGAGTTTGAAATATGGCAAGGTGAGGTTGTTTATATATTTATAAATACTGTAATGTATACAACATAAACACATCGGACAACATCAAAAAATTGACATAGTGTACAATGGGTGGTCTTATCTCACAAGGCAATCTCTTACAGACAGCCTTTGGATGGAACTATAACAGAAGTCAGATATGGGTCGTCAATATTAGTACTTATACTATTGTTTAACAACAACAATATAATACACACACTGTATAACAACTGATATTTTTCTACTATCCTACTATTACATATTCAAATTATTCTTTTTCATGTTTCAGCTGTCACAAGGTATATTAATGAAAGTTTTTCCTTCACTGATCAAACGCAGAAAGAATCACTTTCACAACCTGCCGTGTGGTATATCAGTGATCATTGGCAACAATGGCTACATCTGGATCAGTCCACCAGAACAAAATAACATGGTGGAAGAAGAGAAAGATGAAATTGTTAATGTTGAAGTACAGGTAAGAAAACTAACTTTAGAATGTTTTGTTGTGGTTTGAAGTTGGTTAAAGTAACTTGGTTGGCAACCCCAGCAATGATAACAGAAATGCGTTTAACCATTTCTATTCATAGATTTCCAACTTTATTACATAACAATAAAGTTGAAAATCTATTACAAACTTCACTTTGTATCTTGTTTACTAAGAAGTTGCAGTTATGCTGCTGAATTAGAAATCTTTGGTTCAATTTCTAGGTCAAACAAGGTACACACTATTGGGTTTTTCGGTTATCAAAATTCTTTAAAGACATTTGTGTTACTGCATGAGTGATTACTATACCAAAGTTAGAGTATGTGGAAGTTTGAAACTCAACCCTACTTTATTATTTGTTACAGTGTATTAGCAGATCGGACAGAGAAACTATGGCAAGAGTGAGGAACTGCATAGCTGCTCTAGTTGCATCCAAAATGTTACTAGACGACACAAGCATCATGTTTGCGTATGAAGAGAGTCTCAAGTACGACAATGTTAAAGAACTACTAGACCCTGAAGCTATGCTCGATGTAGCCTTCTTAACACAACATAGAATAAATAATGTTTTAGAAGAGTAATAATTGGTTATTTCATTTAAGTTATTTTAGGACTACAGATTGATGAAGAGTTAGCGTCATTTCTATGGGGTGAAAGATCGATGGTGATATGCAGTAAAGATATGTTTATACTTTACAGAAATGTAGTTTATGGGTCTTTGTCGATGGGGGAGTGTATACGAAGAGTGATAGTAGAGTAGTCACATGAATAAAGTTAATGAGATTTTGACTTTCATCACCACTGGCTCTTGCAGTCCATTTGGCGATATTACATTTTGTTGTTTTAATTACAAGTTGAATTTAAATTGTTTCTGTATGAATCTCTTTTCTTGATTAATTGGGATCGGCGATTACTATGATTGGTTAATAAATAAAATATAAGCCAATTTGATTTCACAAAGTTTATTCTCAGTATCACAAACCACTTAATTTATTATCAGACAAATGTTTAATCTTTCTTGATTAATCATAAAGTATCTTAGTAATCTCAGTTTCTCTTATAAATGGTGTGATCCATTGTAATAAATTTTAAAAACGTACATAACAAATTATTATTTGGTTTCTATCATTAAAAACTATGATACAATACTGTAAAAGAGTACACATCTAAATTATTATTAAAAATATTTTACAAATAGAAATATAGTAAAAAATCCTATAAAATGTGTAAATCGGAGTACCAGTGATTATAATAATTGTGACAATGATTTAAAGTTTTGACACGATATAACTTATTCTCTTAGTTTTACGTTCACAACACTCGTACGCAATTTTTGGCACTTTATAATTCTTTGTTTCGTTTACCAAGGATTCTCATAAGATTTTTCGACATAAAGTATGGTTTCTCTGGTGAGCCATCGTTTCTTTCGCAGTCTTCAACTAAAAGAAAGAAAAAAAAACATTGTGTTAGTACCTATATAATATATTTAGACTTTAGATAGGTACAGAGGCCTTAGTACGAGTTTGTTTTACGTTTAAAGTATTCGAAACGAGAACGCGTTCGGCGCACTGATTGGCCGGAGCCAATGAAGCAACCAATCAGAGCGCCGAACGCGTACTCGTTACGATTACGTTAAACGTAAAAGAAACTTGTACTAAGGCCTCAGGAATCACCAAAACAACCTAGTTCAATATTAAATTATTAGTTTTTCAACACTATTATTTCGGTATTGTCTTTATTCCAACGAGAAAAAATTAAAGATTAAAGTAGATTGATCTACATGTGCTAATGTTCAATCGATTAAAATACTTACGGAAACAAAGGAACAGTGTGTCAACGGCCATTTCGTAGACGTTGAAGAATATTGTACAGATGAGGTAGGTGGCAATACTTAGTATAATGGCGGGAATGTGGTTGTAGTGTAATGGCTGACCCTTCGTCACTTCGTACAATAAGTTCCACTGCAGCAGGTAATACACGCCGACACCCACTCCAATGGATATCAACAGTTTTGATAAGAAGAACAGGAAATCTGTCACCTGAAATAATTATTTTATATCATGAACATGGATTTTTCAAAAGAATAGTCATACCTAGGTACTTATGAAAATGGTAGGTACTTTTTGTTTACCTAAACGCATTTATCTAGAATAACTTTTTTTTAACATTTGCCCCACACTAGTATTTTCTCCTATGTCGTGGGTGCGTTTACAAACATACAAGTTCACATACACAATGACACCCAGACCCGAAACAACAATTTGTGGATCACGCAAAGTGTTGTTCTGTGCGGGAATCGAACCCGCGATACGTTGCACAGCAGCCGGTTGCCCAGCCACCGCACCAACCGTGCAGTCAATAACTAGAAATTTATTGAGATTTCAAGAGGTAAATTACAGATATTTAGGCATTTTTACAAACAAATACGTACCTTATCAATAACTACTACTCTCAAGATATTCCGCATTAGCAATGAGAAGGCGTCTCTCGCGCTCGTACAGAAGTTCTGTCCGTGTACCGCGCACATAATGTACGCGTTCTTATTAATGAACTTGAGGAAGTTTTCCAAACACCAACAGAAGCATTTACATAGACACATGAGACATTTTGTGAGAGGATTGTCGAACTTCTTCAGTTTCTGGTCGATGTACTCGAGTATGACACGAATCACTCGAACTATGGCTATGATCAACGATCCAAAGGCCACGGTACCCAGGTGATACCTAAAAAGATAGGACAAAGAATAAGAGTTAATATTAGGTTCAATTATAGGCTGTTAAAGTCATACCATTCATTACTGAATATTTCTATGAAAATTGTAATATATCGAAACTCAACTCTATGAATAAACTAATAGTTTCCACATAAAGTTGCACGCGACACGCGTAAGTAATTTTTTGTACCTATAAAACTATATACCTACTACACACATACAAAACTTCACGCCTGTCTCCCATGAGGGTAGGCAGAGAATACGGAACGCCAATTGCTACGATTCCTACATACCTCTTTTGCTTCATTAACAGTTATCAATCTATTCATGCATGCTCGTCAGTTCACGGTACTTTTAATTTGCCTTTTCTTTAATATATCGCCAATCAGGGTGACTACTCTTGAAACCAATCTCAATGTAAATGCAATTTCAATCTAATAAAAACTTAATAATTATTCAATGTACACACTATACATCATCATATACACTATCAATCGTAGCTGTTAAAACAGCATTCAGAGTACGGAATATAAAGCCAAACTTAATATCATTTAGTTCATTAAATATCCACGCAATTCAGATGCAATGGGCGCTAGTGTTGCAACTCAAGAGAACAAAATTTCACAATACCAATGTCGATCGATAAGCCCCTGGTCAGTATATCTCTGTTTAGGGCTCCCTCTACCGACTACCCCATTCATAGTCGCTCTGTACACTTCGTACTGTTTCGTTACTCTACTTTCATCCATCCTTTCTACATGTCCAAACCAGCATAACATTCCCTTTTTAATCCTTGTCACTACATCATCTTTCAATCCACACCTTTCTATAATAACACTATTTTTCACTCGATTTTAAATGCTTAGTTTCCTCAAAATTATAATGAATTAAACTGTACTACGATTCTTACCGTACTGTCCTGTATATACCAGAGGTAAGTGTGAAGAATGGAAGGTCTTTCTTGTCGTATGTCCAGTACCACGTGGAAAATGTGCTGGCCAACATCATGTCTGATACTCCACTGATGAAGAACATTGTCCAGAAGAAACCCAATAAGTTGGCCACTGTAATCAAAATATTGAGATAGAGATATACAGAGTAAAAATATAAGTCGATAAAACGATTCTTGGGTGAGATTGACAAAAATATTAACTAACAAAAATAATTTTCTTGAAACACATGTTGTTGAGACGATGGCTACGAGCCCACGACCTACGCGGTACGAACTACGAACTACTAGTGATGCGCGAGGAACTACAAGCTACGACCTACGGAATACGTGCTACGAACTGCGAGCTACACTTTATAAGTTGCGAGCTACATTTTACAAACTGCGAGCTATGAACTACTAGTTAGGCGCGAGCTACGACCTACGGACTAAGCGCTACGAACTACACCCTACGAACTACGGCTGCAGTATTTCGCCGCAACTTATGTGTAAGACCTGAGCAAGTAGGGTTTTTTTTTTAAGGGGTGAAAATCATCGAATGACTGCTCCCGCCTGGGTGAGGCGGAAGGGAGTGTCAGACTCTTACTGACTAAAAACCATCCCGTTCCTTCTCCTGCACGTCGAGCCGGAGCCCCGGTTACCCGTTAGGTTCTCCGCGACAAGCAAGTAGGGTTAGAAACTTAGCTCTAGATGAGATCTAATTACTTTTTGATAGTCCGAGCTAAGATAAAACAATAAGCAAAGATGCGAGCGACATTTTATATAAAAATGCATTTCGCAGAATTACTCTTTTTTAGGAAATTGTAGAGGCGTTCACACGTTGCAATGTATATCGCTAGGTATGTATCTATTTTATTAGAAAATAAACTCAGCTTCTTAACTCGTCGAGTACCGGTTTTATAGACACAATTAAAGAACAATAGGTCGCGGTCACCGGTGACCGCTTGGTGTTTGACGGATTAAAAGAAATGGCATAAAAGTATACGTACAATGCAAGTAGACGACGCTGTGCGGATTTTCGAGTCCAGTGAAGTGACACAAGGCTTGCTTGCACGACCCTCCATTACTGTCGAAACAATCCTTTAGGAATGTAGCTGGATCACACGACTGGTAGTCCTGGAAGGAAATAAAACAGAAAATTAAATCCTAATCTTATAAAGTTATGTCCAAATTCAGAATTCTATCGATAATTGAGACCCATATCGAACCTATAACTCAATCAATCATCAATTGGCTTGTGACTACCCCAACACTTATTACAAAGAGTATAATAAGTATAGGGGAAACTTATTATACTTTTGACCATTTGGCATTATCTTTTATCAATGATTAATCAACTTACCTGGGTATAAATACCATTACTGCAGCTACAAGTAGTGTCATTCTGTAGGTTGACTATTTTGAAGGCGGAGTCTCCAATGGACAGGAGATACATGAGCACCAATACACCGTAAGCAATGGTAAAGCATTGGAAGATCCACGGGAATAACGGAAAGAATATTGTGGACTTCACTGCTGTTACGGCTCTGAAAACAAACAAGCGTTCAATGAAAAATAATTCAGAACTAGAACTATATAGGTATCTATTAAAGCTACCTATAAGAAAAAAATTTTTTTTGGTTAGGTGTAAAGCTGAGCGTTTATAATTAAGAATTCACTTTAATGTGATAGCTAACAGAGATTTATAAAAAACTCTTTTGTTGAGTGATGAACAATTTCATCCTAGACACACCAATTAAGCTCAATCAAACAATACCTCCTTAAAATAGACTTACTTGCTTCCTTCACGGATGATAGCAATGGCAATAGAAATTCGTTTTCTAAGGAAAATGACCATCAGCACTAGAATGAGGAGTACTATGGCCACTGCGATGAGGATCGCCATCCAGGTGCCAGGCTTCGTGAACATGGATTCAGCGTAACCCTTCAAATTGGTTGTCTGATGCAGCAACCCTGGGTTCGCTTTGTAATATGCATAGTTCTTGTAGCATAAATACACGCCTGAAATGAACGGGTTAATTAACAATGATAAATACATTGTTCAATGTTTATTTCTAGGTATTGATATCGCAGCCAACTGGCAAAAAAATATTTTTTATAATTTATTATCGTATTTGCAAAACAAGGATATCATCATCAACAGCCTATAAATGCCCACTGCTGAGCAAAGCCTCTTCTCACACGGAGAAGGTTAGAGCATTAATCACCACGCTTGCTCAATGCGGGTTGGCGGTTTCAAACTTATAATTAGAAATTATAAGTCCAGGTTTCCTCACGATGTTTTTCCTTCACCGTTTGTCAGTGGTGTCTAAATAATCTTAGAAAGTACATATAACTCGGAAAAGGTCACATTGGTACTTGCCGTTGGTAGGTTTCGAACCCGCACCTTCATGCATGAGAAGTGGGCGTCTTAAACCTCCGGGCCACCACGACATTATAAACAAGGATATGTCTGTATACATTATTTTGCAGTTTGTAATAACCCAGCCGTGATAAAAACTAAACATTTATGGTCTCAGTAATATTATTGGATTAGAAAAAATTTATTCATTGTTTTTAACATTTAAATGTGATACCTAAATCTGAAAACCTAGACTGAAATATAATTAAATAAAATATGTTTGAAGCCCAATTCCGGTAGCTCATATTACCGTTACAAATCTAAATAATCCGTAAGAGATCCTTATTTAACCCGTCGAGCGTCCGAGTTCCTTATGCATTTCCTTATCCTTATGCATGCAAGAAAATGCATTTATTTGGCCACTGGCACACGAAAACAAGGATCACCACGATAGAAATAAAACAAATACAGTCATAATAAAAACAAAACATTAATAATAGATTTTATAAAAGAGAAAGCAGCATGGAGCATTTTTCCTTATGAGCACCCGGTGGATCACGGTCGAGGTGTTAATGACGGGTCTTTAATATTTAGATACTAAAACTACTTACAAAAGCCAAGCAGGCCGATAAGTCCCACGATGGATACCCATACGACTGGGCCCACCACCCAGCGCAGCAGCAGGATGTACAGGAAACACAGGACCACAACTCCGAAGACAGCACCTAGCAGGTACCATCTCGACTGAACTAAGTCTTGAACTATTTGCGCCGACAACTGATTATTGTACGAAAAAATACATTAATAACATGTAACGGAATATCGAAATATGTAGATAAGTGCGTATGGTAATTTTCCTGGAAAAGGGCATTTATGTACCTAGTAATTTATTTTTAAACTAAATTGATTTCCTTCACCACAAAATAAGGATTTCTACTGTCCATCACCAAGTTAAAGGTAAAATGTTAGTTTACTGTACTTATTTTTCCCTATTTATAATAATGGCAATCAACCTTATATTTATTTACAAAAACTACTAATATTTTGCAAACCTCGTGTAAAGAAAAGATATAATTTAACACCGATTTTAAAAATATAAGATACTGTAAATGTTATGCATTAATCATCAGTCTTTATAAAACAAAAAAAGTATTGGTAACTTCTCTTCAAAACAGTAAACATGGATAGTAGATATTATGATGAACTATAGACAAATATCGAATTGTAAGATTAATTACCAAGAGTCCAAGATTAAGATTACATAGCTAGCTAATGAAAATAATCACGTGTTTTGTACACAATTGAAGTTACTACTGATCTTCGTTTAATTTAAGCTTGTAACTCCCATAAATATTTCTGCCAGGTAAGGTATAATTTATAAGTAGTAGCAGTTGTACAGAGTTCGGAATTACGAATAGTAGTTAGATACACTATTTATAACTGCACTGTAGTTACGAACTTATTAAACTAACATGCATAACAGAAATACTTAATTAAATAAGTAATAGCAAAGAGCTAATGAGCTAAGATGAACACTATCTACCTCTTGGAACTGCACCAGATTTACGATTTGTGAGATCACCTCCTCCTCCGTGATGTCCGGGTTGATGTCGAGGTTTTGTAAGATGTTCTTCACATCAGATACGTTCACGAAACACCGTCCCATCACTGCGCCGATCACCAAACATGCACAGCGACCGCGACGGTAATGTATAGATATAAGTGTTATGGTTTAATTTATTTAATTGTGACAATGTGAAGGAGCATTAATGTGCTTAAAACTAGAACAGTGAGTTATAGATAAGATTGTAACGTAGAACAGTGCAGCGGACATTCTTAAAAGTATTAATTAGGAGACTTAGTCGTATTAGTCATTGGTCAGTAAGGGACAGTGCACATGCACAAGGGTTAGAGTCAAGCTTCTAGCTACGCGTGCATCAGAGTCATGCGCAGTAGGTCGCGCGCTACGTACAATGTGAGTTTCGCGCTCGTCCGTCTGTTTGAAGAAGGACATCCAGCTGGCTACGATCCAGCCGACGTAAGAGTCGAGAGCTGTTGCTCTGTTCACCAACGACTTGCGAGCCTCGCTAGGGTTCCTCACGCAGCTGTCGGTCACTTTACTAAGAGTCTTTGGACTCGACTTGCTGTCTCCCTGGCATTGTAGAGTTGACAGATCGCCGATGCAACGGGATAACACTGTAGTGTAGTTATTATACAATATCTCACAAGGGAACGTTAAGTCAAACAATCTTAGGTATAGGAATATCCGGAGGAACATGCCACACATTTAACACTCGATCCAAATATTAAGCATCACAACAATTAATGGCAGAGACTCACTCAAACACTGACATGTTCGTATTCTCAGAATAATACTCTGACAAACAAAAAAATGAAAGTTTACCTGCTTGACTTTCCAATACGTATGGAGCGCATTTCCCATTGGACATGTATTCAACTGCTTGCGCGTAAGTAATGGTATTGACGTTGACGTCATATGTGCACACCAAGTCGGCTCTATATGCACCAAAATTTTGCTGGTTCATTTCTGAGCTAAATATTATTGTTCTGGATGGACACTTCGATACGCAAACCTGAGAATATAACGAGGAAACAAAGTTTATAGAAAAAGCTGATTTTGAAAAGAAATTCGTTCGTCGTTCAGATAAGAATGAGCTACCTGTGGCGTGGGGCAGCCGACGATGGGCGTGCCGGGTGACAGACATTTGGAAATATCAAAGAACACGAGGTACGGCTTGTCCTTCACGCTAGAGTCGAGACCACATCGAGCTCCAGCCGTGTCGATTGGTGCGAGGAGCTTTTCAATGTTCCCGTGGGTCATGCCTGAAATTAGATTTAGTTGTGTATCTGCATTTTGTACATAATTTTAATTTTATAAAAATATTGAGGTAAAGTTACAGTAAACTTATGTTCCTATTTACATATTTTTAAGGAAGGAAAAATATGGATTTAAAGTAGAGTTAAGTATTAATAAGTCTTTTATAAAGTACGTTTAAAAAAACCGACTTCAACTTTTTTTGAAGTCAGTGGATTAATATACTAAAATCATCCCATCTCCCAAGTTTAACAAACACTATATTGTGAAAACCACATGGAAGTAGGTTCAGCAAATTGCGAGATAATCGCGAACACAGCTCAAACTGAGAACTCCTTTTTTTGAACTCGGTTATAAAGTATATATTTTACTTACTATAATAGCCAACGTAGCCCCATGCTCCAAGAAAGAGTATGAACAGTATCAACCAAAAGATGTCTGTGCAGGACCGGTTGTGGATGGGACCGTTGAAATTCGGGTCATACCGAATTGGCTCTCCTGAAATGATGAGAAAATACTGTTAAGCACACATTACGCATCTTTTAATTAATATTGGAGAATTATAATAATGTAGTGTAATTCTAGTACGTGTGACACTCATTATGTGCCATTTACGTTACGTTATAATCTCCATGTTATCAAAAATGAGAATAATTCCAATCAGATGTTAGTCATGATAAGGACGATAGGTTCGTCCGTCATGATAATATTATTAATATTGTAAAAATCATATTTCGGTGATCGAGTCTATTCTTTAACGGGCTACCGGGGCTTCGGGTTGAAGTGCAGGAGTAGGAACGAGGTGGTTTTTAGTCAGTAAGAGTCCGACATTGCCTCCCGCCTCACCCAGGCGGGAGAAGTCATTCGATGATTTTCAACCCTTAAAAATAAAATAAAAAAAAGCTTTTTGTAATAAATAGCACAGTACTCTGATACATTCATCTGATTCTTTTTATATGGCATACATAGGTTCACCCCTAATCATATACTACCTCTACAAGGGGTCTCGTTGTAATACAACATGCAAAAATTGGGTGTCACATTAACCCGTAAATTCAACCCCAAAGTTATAAGTGATTAGGATTTTATATGCAGAAAGTAAATAGACGTTTAAAAATAGATTTAAAATTAATAAAGAAGTTTTGTTATATCTATCAATTGTAAATGTTATTAGATAAGATTAACGGGGTCAACAGTATAGTAATAGGTAGCTAGACAGGACCTACTACTCATAACATTTAACTACTTAAACCTCTTTTTGTAATAAGATGCACGATAGTTAAAGTCAAGAAAATATTAAAATCAACGTGCATTCATTCATTCATTAGGTAATTAAAACTATTACAACTACAATAAGTGTACAACTATACCTAAGTTACCTAAGTTATAATATTGGAAACTTATAGTTAAGTGGGACTTACTAGACTCTTTAGGTGGTATGCAGCAGCCCATTTTTATCTCAGTATATCATGTTTAATTTCCTACACACACTGATGACCAGTCCCCAGCATCAACACTCTCACTTATTGAAAATTTTGGTTATTACAAAACACTAATTCAATTCGAACACATAACTTTGAATCGTGTCGTCTATCGAGATTGCTTATCGTAAATGTATTTGATAAGAATTACTCGACCAATAGCCCGCGAAACTGAATTTAGTAGCAGATTGAATCGTATTTTTAAAGAGAATTTTCATATCTGATTACCTTTAAATAGATTTTTAACATATTTGTTTTGAACAATTTGTACGACAGCGTGACGAGACGCTAGGTGCGGCGTTCTACGCGCTTTTGATTGAATAGATAGATAGATACCTATCTATATCTATTCAATTGTACCTACTAGTCTCTGCCGAGATCAGCTGAATGAAAAAATATTCCGTGTAAACACAACAGTACCGAGGTTATGGTTAAGTGGTGGAGACGTTAAATTCGGTGATATCATTGAAGAAATATATAGAGATGACGCTACACAGTAACTAGATCTTACTACACGCAATCTACGAGTTAATGGTACTTTTTATAGTGGAAAGAAGAACATTCGTAGGGTTTTTGACCAAGATAATTTATGATCTGTAAAATTAGAGCGAAAAATGCCAGTCAGTCAGTCAGTCAGGATGCTATGCTATAATAAGCTATTAAAACGTAGTTTACGTCAATATTTTTTGATTTTCAAAGCAACTACATACTTGACGCCTCAAGGAGGTAAAATACTATTAAAAGTATTTAGGCTTTAACATTTAGCTATGGGTGACATTGGAAAAGTCAATTACCTACCCAACAAACGTACGCGTAGTTGTCTATTGTTTTCCTAAAGAAAGATCATTAACTCACTTAACCAAAACGTTACGAGAACATTAAGTAGACTGTAAAACTAAAACAATTTGTACCTAATTGTAAAAGTAATTTCTACAAGTAAGACGTAGGACGATTACATAAAGAAACAAGATATGAACATACGAGGGGTAACGGACTATTTGGTTTAAGCGACATTTTGGGCGATATTGAGTTATTATAATATATTCGACGGAGAAAAATTCGCAGATTCCGAATATATATATAGTTAACTCAATATCGACCAAAATGTCGCTTAAACCAAATAGTCCATTACCCCTCGAATTATGTAACTCTAAGGTCCTCTGAAAATATATTCAACTATTAAACAAACAAAAAAAAAAACATTTTTAAACGAATAAAGGTAAACGAAAATATTAGTTTTCTAGCAATGTATGTATGTAGGTACGTTAAGTTTTTCACTTTTTCTTGTCCAAGTGTTTTCCATGAAGGTACGGGCGTCAGCATATGGAATTATGTAACTTCACGTGTTATTTTTTTGTAAAATTTAGTAAATTAGTTAAATTAATTAACCTACTTTAAGAACTCTACTCACCCATGATTTTATTTTAACCGCTACACTATTGAAGCAGATTCGAACTTCAATTAAAAAAACTTTTTTTATTATATTAAATGACAACGACTAAGTTCGCACAATGCCGGTTTCATTATGTTTCCTCTTCAACAGTTAACAGTATTGTACATTAGCGGTAACATAATGATGGCAAACATTAGGAAAATAATTTAATTACTAAGTATTTGTACTCTCGTTATTTTTAATATACAAGTACGTGTTTTTATTTATCTAGCTCTTGGGTCGTATTGTTTATGCTCCATACAATGTCGTTAGTTTCCATTATAAAGCTATTTTAGTTACGCAGCAACAAATTCTATACTTTGGTACATGTTTTAATGTTATATCTACATATTATAGTTTACAAGATCTTTATGACGTTATATTGATGTTATGATGTGATAAGAATATGTACCACCATCATCACCATCATTATCAACAGCTGGAAGGCGTCCACTGCGCTGGACAAAGGCCTCCTCTTTAGTCTTCCACGTCGAACGACAACTTGCCACCTGCATCTACTGGATCCTCGCGACCCTGGCGATGTCGTCTAATGGAGGACATGTGTGTGAAATTATAATATTTTGTTTCTCTAATAATGAGATTTAAAAAATAAAGCTTTCACGGTACACGAGCAGGAGGCAATGTTAAGAATAGAGATTTTGAGAATAGTATATTATTTTGAGTTGCTTATAAAACCTTTCAAGTAAAGCAGTAAAATCTAATTTAAATTGCTATAAAATAGTAATCAAGTAATTGAAGATGCATTATAGTTACTAGTGATTAAATACACATCTAGTGACGTCACTGCACTTCGTACACACTTGAATAATTACGTGGAAAGAGGGAAAGATAATAAAATATTGACCGCAATGTTTAATCACTGGATCTATTTATATTATCTTATCTTTATAAGCAAAGCGGTACTTCCCATAGTTCACATTATATAGGGTGGAATTTTGTAATGCCACCTGGCACCTGAAGGGGGAGTACTTTTAATACTTTAGATAGAAAATTTTAGCCAAAGAAAATATTCCTTTATGTTTGAAAAGAAAGAATACAAGAATACGGCATTCAAAGATATTTAAAATTTCGCTTGGCGCTATTACCGTGTGTAATCGATCCGACTAAAATGTGTATAAAAGTTGCATCCTGTACTTTTATTACATTGATCATCGTTAGGGTCAATAAGGATGAAATTTCTTTAACAATCTTCATAAATTAAATGAAAAGAAAACAATGAAGTCTTTATTAATTCAACGGTTGGCCCAACTTAAAGTATTAAGAGTTTCCCCTTCAGGTGGCGTTACAAAAGTCCACCCTGTATTCATATAGAAAGTTTTATTCACACAACATACGTATCTACTGTTTTATCAATATGTCTAGATTATTGGGATTAATTTTATTGTTGGATGTATGATAAATTAAATGTTATATATATAAACACTAGACATTGCGTTTATAAATACACATATACCTAATATCTATAGGTACAGAGGTGTAATATGTATTTGATGTAAGCGCTTAGTTACTTTTGCGAAGAAGCCTTAGGTTTGTATTTATTTTCCTGTACCTGCTCTTGTTTATTAGTTCAATACTTCCTATATTGAGTTCCTTCCTATGTTTATACAGAAAGAATGCACTTAAACTTCTAATCATAATATAGATAAATAATCAGATCTATTTTCACGAAAACAGACATATTTTTAATGTAGATAGGTTTATAATTGTGTAGCGTGTCATCTGAGATGTTATTAGTCAATTGCATAGGTTATAGAAGATTTAATAAAAGACGGAATTAATGAATATTCAAACGACCACAAGGTTCCAAGTTCAAAAGAGTTCACTGATGAGTTATGTAAAAACAAACAAAAGACAACACGTTAGAATATCAGAGACCGGTTGTACGAACTACGAACTAATATTAGACAACTACATCCACATCGGATTTAGTCAGTTGCATCCTCAATTTTATGAACGTCTAGGTACCAAACTATGAAGTATTACGCGAATGGCAGACTAGGTAACCATAAATAGTACTAATCTATGACTCACTAAATAAATCTGTGTCTATGCATCTAAATAGAATTCCATTGTAGCTAACTCTGATTTACTATGTAGACCACATTCTTGCAACAATTACAATACATAGATAAACTTCGCGTTATCCAACCTCTTTCTAGCTTTTAAATATTAAAACCTGTTTGCAGTTGCTTTTTCCTGCTTTTGTAGCTTTTTTTGGACTTAACTATACCAGGGGGCTTACTCTTGAATCCAATTCCGATTGATCGACATTGGTATTGTGAAATTTCGTACTCCCGTGTTGCAACACTAGCGCCCATTGCATCCGTATTGCGTGGATATTAAATGAACTAAACGGTATTGAGTTTGGCTTTATATTCCGTAGTCTAAATGCTATTTTAACAGCTACGATTGTGGTTGTATAGGTTTGTCATTGAATAATTATTGAGATTTTATTGGATTAAAATTGCATTGATATTGAGATTGGTTTCAAGAGTAAGCACCCTGTTGTGCGAGGTCTCGAGAAATTAAAAGATCACGGAAACTCGGAAAGTGTATATATATATATACCTACATAAAGTACACAGAAGTTTATGAGTAGAAATATTTAGGTAGATTTTATCCTGTTTTTAGGCCTCCGTTTACCTTATTAGGAACTAAATGTGTTTCTAATTAAATATAAATTAAATTGAATTACTTGCTAATTAAATAATTCGCTTTTGCACTCAGAGACCTTAACCAATACCAGTTATAATGGCTGTTGCGGTGTTGCCTTTGTATAATTATTTATTAGGTCGTCAGTATTTCCCCACTACTACCGACACTGGCCGGAAAAACTAACTAAAAATATAATGGCACCTGTATAAAGAAAACCTTGTAATTTTTATAAATAGTGCAGGTTTTTTATTATACGCGTAGGTACAGCACTATTAAAATCACATTTGTATTGTTGCTAAGCAGGGACTATAAAGTGTGTTTATATCCCCTGAGGTTATAAGTTTTTATAGTGTAGAAAAGAATGCAGTTGACTTGACTTATTTCCTCGAAGAATTAGGCAGAGACGCATTCTGATACCAAATACCAAATTAATCTATAATTATGTGTGTGTATAGGATTACTTTTTAACAAATATGTACCTAGTCTTATAGTAATCGTAACGGGGAGAAAACATAATAAGGGCTGATTTTACAATTATCGCTTAATTCTGAACTGTATAATAAAATAGCCATTTTGCATTTGTTTTGTAAAGAAGAATTAACAAATATTCAAAGTTATTCCTTAGTTAAAATGTATCTGGCGTTGGAAAAATCGGCCCTAAGCAGGGCCGGATTTAGGGGTCCAGAGGCCTCGGGGCAACAAAGGAGTGGAGGCCCCCTTGCCCCAAATTATTTTCCAGATTGAGATTGAGGACGCTCGCTTGATTTCGAGGACGCTCGAAAACGATCGAGGACTCTCGAAAACAATCGAGGACGTTCGAAAACGATCGAGGACGTTCGAAAACGATCGAGGATGCTCGAAAACAATCGAGGACGCCCTATAGATTTCGAGGACGCTCGAAAACAATCGAGGACGCTCGAAAACGATCGAGGACGCTCGAAAACGATCGAGAACTCTCAATAGATTTCGAGGACGCTCGAAAACAATCGAGGACGCTCGATTGATTTCGAGGACGCTCGATAGATTTCGAGGACGCTCGAAAACAATCGAGGATGCTCGAAAACGATCGAGGACGCTCGAAAACGATCGAGGATGCTCGAAAACGATCGAGGACGCCCTATAGATTTCGAGGACGCTCGAAAACAATCGAGGACGCTCGAAAACGATCGAGGACGCTCGAAAACGATCGAGAACTCTCGATAGATTTCGAGGACGCTCGAAAACAATCGAGGACGCCCGATAGATTTCGAGGACGCTCGAAAACGATCGAGGACGCTCGATTGATTTCGAGGACGCTCGATTGATTTCGAGGACGCTCGATAGATTTCGATGACGCTCGAAAACGATCGAGGACGCTCGATTGATTTCGAGAACGCTCGATTGATTTCGAGGACGCTCGATAGATTTCGAGGACGCTCGAAAACAATCGAGGACGCTCGAAAACGATCGAGGATGCTCGATAGATTTCGAGGACGCTCGACAGATTTCGAGTTTGAGAATTGAAGAATACCAAATTGTTCACATACTGCAATTAATTTTTTTAATGGTCGAGACACGGAATCGAATAGCCAACCTCCGAGGTTGCGGGCAAGTACCATCCCACTGAGCCATTGAGCCATTGGGGTACTCCCTCAAGATGGGTAGTAAATTGGAAGTGCTTATCAGAGCCATTTGAGATTTTGATATTTCACTGATTGCCTGATTGGAGTGAACAAATATAGATCAATTATTTCTGTTTCTGTTAATATTTAAAATTAATATAATCAAATAATCATGTATGTATAAAGTACTTTAGGCTGTAGGTAAAGGTAAAAGCGAAAAAAAAAATATCAAAGAAAAGATGTTTACTAGGTTTACTAGTTGAAATTTGAAAGATTTTTTTCCGAAGTCTCTATTGTGGAGGCCCCCTGCTTGTGGAGGCCCCGGGGCTTTCGCCCCGGTTGCCCCCCCCCCCTAAATCCGGCCCTGGCCCTAAGTGCTCAAAGACCTAGTTTAATATTTAAATGCACGGTATTGAATTCAATATTAAAATACGTGGATAGATGAAAAATGCATAGTATTTTCTCATTGACTATTCCGAGTAGTTTGTAATTCATGTCAAACAGAAATAAATTCGTCAACTACGGTAGGAAAGTAATATGGAATCGCTAATTCCTTGCTAGAATAAGGTTTCACTGTACACGTCAATGTAAAACCTAATCACATTTTCACATTTCGAACATTTGTCAACTCTATAATATTAATTAAAATTACAAAAAAGACTATTATTTCTAAAGTCCATTATTCGTATATTGCACAGAGATCATCATTCACATGGAAACACGTTAGGTAATGACATAACGGAAAATCATGGAAAATATTATCACTAAAGGTTTTCTCTCGGCACATCACTTTTGATAATAAAATAAGGGCTCATGTTTTATCACTGTATCACTGTTTTAATAGTCTGTTTACATGAACTAAGCAAGCGAGTTGCAAGATAACCGGATTTGTTTTACGATATAGTTTGGAAGGAAGCTGACGAAAATTTATAGGTACGAGTAAATATGTGGCCGCTTTAGCGTCACATAGTAAACTGGCGAGTGACTTGTATGAGTTGTATGTTCCATGAGTCTGTGAGGTTAGGTGTAATTCATAATGCACTGAGACTATAAACGACAATGGTGTCGTCGTGTAATCTTTTCTGTTATTGTTTGTTTAATTTCATAATAGGTACCTTATGGTACTTACAGATAATGGTTGGGAAGTCGCCGGTTACTGCCTTGATAGTCATTTTTACCGTGTGTTTAGTAAGTAGATAAGGTTTTAATTTTGCAATGTTGACTCAATGCATTTTTCGTGTGATAGGTACTTATTTTGTTTTAATATTATCTCATATCAGACATGACCATTGCTTATCAAATGACTAGTTAACTTGCTATTTCCAAAACAATTTTGTCATATACATTACTTGTCTACCAATATACACCGTGAAATCTATTTTGTTTTCGTCCCGAAGTAAAATGGTTCTGTCTTGGAAATACTTTGATAATAATATAATACTAGAAAATAACTGGTGTTCCATTGCAAAAAGCAAATTTCGAAAGCGCATACAAACTTATAATACCTAGGTACATTACTATAACATTATCATGCCATGTAATTCTCGAAGAGGGATTTCTCGTCGGTTGGCACGCGCGATGCGAATAGCGCCTACAAATTTACCTCTACTGTTTCATGTGCGTAAGTACATATAAAAAAAAAATTAACTAAAAAATGACATCTCAATTTGTTTGCTTTTACTTCATACATCGAAAGTACTCCTTATGGCAAGTTGTTTTGCCGCGGATCGAAACCGAAATAGATTTCACGGTGTATACTAATAAATGTGTCATTGTTATCAAAATATTATTGTTTTATCGTATTTTTTTTTGTAAACTTCTAGACTAGACTACAGCAGACACGATACGATCGATTAACACCTGTTTTTAATTTATAAATAAAGTTTAGTTAATTTAACTACATTTTTTACCAAGTTGATAATAAATAATAAGGTTAACACAAAATGACGTGTGCTAATTTCCCTATCGATAACAATATGGAATAACCTGTTGATTAAAATCGAACAATAACTTATGAGTTGTTTGTATAGTACACACGCCAGCCTTGTGTGAGAACTGACATCAACTTGTCAGTTGGGGCTTAGTCCAACTCTTGTCAAAAATAAAATATGACAAGGTTTTTGGATTTTCCAAATCAGGAAGTTCGTCTCATTTCCTGAAAACCCAGATACGACTAACTGGTTTCTAACGCTCTAGGGAGCCTAACTAACTACCTAACTAATACGTACCTATAGGAATCCTAACTCCTAGCAGCCTCGCCTTTGACACAACATAAAGCCAGTTTTGTTATCATAGCTTGCATGCATTGCATGGGTATATAATTTTCTACCAAAGCCTATTGAAAATCTTTTATTTTCCAAAAAATTAAAACAAAATAACTACCTATACAATTGTACAAAATACTCCACGCAAGTCGGGCATGTTTTTATAAAAGTCGTGAATAGCGCCTAATGTCAACATTATCGTGAATGGCGGTGACGGTGGCTTTATTTACGTCTTGCGCTCCGATCAACGGATCCTCGTGTCGGTGCCGCAAATAAACACAATATTAGTGTTACTAGCTTTATGTGACGCTAGAGGCGAACTGTCCAACACAAACTATCGATATGTAGATGGCAATCTGTATTTAGATAAGCGATTTTCAACTGTGTTAAACAGGGATAGGGTTCATTTTTTAAACTATTTTGACGTTTTCGGGTATCTTGATGTGCCGCCGGTGTGAGTACTAATAGTTTCCAGTGGCGAGGTTGTTCTACGAATTGGTCGTTTCCCACGTGACTTGACTGATTCGTGTAATTAATATTTAAATGGAGCATTGTTGGGTTCCACCGGTGTAAGGATGGGCATATAAGCTATCAAATAAATAAAATACATCATTTCCTCACATATGGTTTAAAAATCGAATAAAACAAACACATTTTATCGAGGACTCTCTGGTTTCAATTAAATGTGCAGTTCTTTCGTTGTTTTGATATTATAACACCCGAGGGGAGAGTAGTGTTATGAATGTACTCTAACGTTACTATGGTAACGACATGTTTGTCTTTAAGTACAGGTGATTTAAATAACAAAAGAGATATTAAAAGCAATTTAAAGTAAGACCCGTTAGATAAGGACAATTAGTTGCAAATGCTCCCACACTGTGGTTGTAGGGAAAACCAAACAGTGCGTGACACATAGGTCCTACTTAGTGAGTGCCTGTCCTGCATTACACGTCATTCTTGGTGGTTAATGAGTTATTTGATTTAAATATAAATTCGTTTATTTCATTGTTTTTAATTTCAAGGTAGATATGAATGTACATGCTAAGTTATTTTTTTTACATAAAGCTTGTGTGTTTATTGACAAGGAAATACTTTCATTCACATGTAGGTTTTACTACTATTACTACTATACTGTATTATTGGTGATTCGGTGATTGGGAAGACGGGGAAGGGGGTTATAATAGCCTAGCTTCACTGACGGACAGACGGACAGACTGACAGACTATTATTTATTTAATATTTGTTGACGTTTCAAAAGTACTAAATTATGGTTTAATTGAAAAAAAAGAAAGAACTGCATATTTGATTGAAACCAGAGAGTGCTCAATAAAATGTGTTTGTTTTATTCGATTTTTGAGTAAACCATGTTTGAGAAAATTATGTGTTTTATTTATTTGATAGCTTATATGCCCATCCTTACACCAATGGAACCCAACAATGTCTTCGGTAACCTCACTCACACTACGAAACACAACGAAGGCGTTGATTCACGTCGGTTTTCTGGGCGGCCGTGGTGTATCACTCCGGTCGAGCCGGCCCATTCGTGTCGAAACAGGGCTTTCCCACACTTGTCTAAACTCTAAAATGAGTGCAACTCAGCCATTTTTTTCAGGGAATAAATACACGTAAAAATATTATTCATAGAGACCTACACGAATCATATTTTTACGGGTTCATAATAACTACTATTATAATTGGTACTTAGGAAAAACTTAGTTTTATTTTTATGAAATGTATGTACAAAATCGGCCAGGAAAATGATGAGAAGCGTCTAGATTTTTCTTTATGCATTTGTTTGTTATTCTTCATTACGTAAAGCCGATTGCTTTTTACTTATTTTACCTATTTCCGTAGTACAATCAGCTAATAAAGTAATGAGTCAATTCTCAGAATAGCGTTAACTGTTATCAACTTTCCTATATACTTACATCAAATTATCGTACATATCCATTAGGTGGGTCCTATCACAATGATATCAAAAGATTATCTTTTAGATTAAGTAATACTTATAAAGTCTGGTTGTAGGAAGTAACTTGAAAACAAAGTAAAATGAATTACTTATTTATTTATAAGTTTCGTTGCTTTCTTTTCCTTTGTATACCTTATTTGAATAACTTTTTAATGTCGCTCAAGCTCAATGATTAATACCTACCTAAACGTACATGTAGTATCTGTTGATGTAAATAAATTGCATACAGCTCAAACTGACCTTTGTCTGAGAGCACAGGAGTAAAACTAAAACTAAGGGACACTGTGCTACGTGCTACGCGGTAAGAACTACACGCTACGGACATCAAGTTACGCGCTACGCGGATATAACTACACGCTACGATTCGCGTGCTACGTGCTACGCGCTACGCGTTATTATTTACACGCCACGAACAACGCACTACAAGCTACGGCGATAGAATCTCGCAGCAACTTAAATATAAAATTAGGACATAGATTTGAGGCTCCGATTACTTTTTGACAGCGCGAGCTATATGGTCTCGCCTTGGAAACATTTTAAATGATACCTAACGATTTTAATTTGTCTTCTTTTGAATTTACTTTGTACTGACCAGTACTGACTATACTGATCATTTGTTCTCTTGATATTAATGTTTATAACTTAACTCTCTTCCTTTGGCGATTTAACTCCACCTTGATTGTGGCACAAAGAAGAAAGAATATAACTGGACATTAAAGAAGTTTCGAAGCCAAGTATAGAAGAAAACTCGGTAATTTACTTAACTAAAAAATCCGACTACTGACTTTCTAAAGGGGTAACAAGGCAGAACTATTCATAGGTTTACGTAGTTAAGTGTTTACTCCCATTTTTATCCAATTTATGTTAGATACGTAAGCCAGCTGTAAGAGATGTAGCTGGTAGATACACAACAGGGACTTTTTCCAATCATAAGGTATCGTTATAAAGAAATCATAAAGCCATTCACTTAATAGTATCAATATGAAACCCGAAACATCATGTTGTTTAGCTGGATAAATAGTTACTTACATTTGTATAAAAATATAATAATAAAATATACTTCATAAATAGCTACCTAACTAGAAATAAAATAGAAATGTAGGATTGGTCTAAAAAGACATTTTCACGCTATACACAACCTCTACACAGTCACGACACATGTTGTAACTTTTTAATTAAAAAAGAACATTTCTAATTACATACCTTTACTTAATGTTCGTTGAGTACCTGTAGTTATGTACCTTCAATATCGTAGATAACTGCTGTGTGTCGGGTTTGTTTTAAGCGTGTGTATAGTACTTTAGAACATTGCGTGTTAAGTAATGTCCTTGACTAGTCAGCCAAACACAACATTGTTATGAAGACTTCATCATAGTCTTTGTTTAGGCATTTATTTTTTCTTGGTGCCTTCCTGATAATGCTGGAAGATGGCTAGTACTTTTATTTTTCTTTTTAAATGAACTCTCGAAGAGTTCTTGTTCTAAAACTAAAAATGTGTACCTTTCACTTGGATTTTCAGGATAAATTCTGAGACCGTGTAATCAATATATATAAAAGAAAGTCGTGTTAGTTACAATACTTATAACTCAAGAATGGCAGAATAGAATTGGCTGAAAATTGGTAGGGAGGTAGCTTAGAGCCAGGACACCGACATAGG